TTCTTTTTCATTTTCAGAAAGCTCCTTGTTTTTTTTGACCAATGAAAAAAAATAATCTTTTTTACTTTCTCTATCAGAACTAGCATTAGCATTATTAAGTATTTCATTATAAAATTTTAATATAAATCCTTGTCTTTCTAGTGATAACAATGATAATCGGTTATAATGTGACATTATATAAAAATGTAAAATATAAATTTGACTTGGTGTTTTAATGAATAGAGTAGAGTTTTTTTTTTTTGAGAATAACTTTCCTTAAACATAAAAGAAAGTCGTATATTTTTATATTTTGTGTACCCAAATTTTGAAATGTTTGGTTGCACGGGAAATATTCTGTTGTAAATGAGGACTCGTTAAGACTTTAAATGGTAGATTTAGCACAGTTACGGTAATAACAAATCACGAATCTTCTAAACATTTTGTTGTTCGACTTTAGTAAACTGAACTGTTGGGGAAAATCAAAGGATAATGAGTCTTTTTTTTTTTTTTGCTACGTTGGTTTGAAAATATTTTTGTTTACCGAAACGATAAATGGTTGTGGTTATTTTTACATCGTTGTATCATGCGAATTCCCATTGCTATCTATTTGGCAACTGAAAAAATTTATCTATTTTTGTTCAAAACGTCAGGGTTGAAAGGAAATCGTGTTTCACTTTAGATTTTTTTTTTTTTTGCAGTGTCTATCGTTGCCTACTAGTATTTTTCGTCTTATTCTGACGTTTCAGACTGTTCAAAATGACCAAAACTTATGACCTTGCCTTGGAGCCTTTACATCAGATCCCAAATAATCAAAGAGTTGTCACAAAACATATATTAGTGCCAGTATTAGTCTATTTCTGGTCACGAGACTGGGACTCAAAAACACTTTTTTTACATTTTATTTTGTTGTTATCGGTCAATTCAATGATCGATAAACAAACAATATGTACAAATTTTATTTTTAATTTCCTTTCGGAGAAAGTAAATAAAATCCATTGATTAATCTTTGCAAAGAATTATTAGGAAAAAAAACAGTTGATTTTTTTTAACAATCGAAATTTGTAAATAAAATTTTGATATTTGCATGAAGCTTATTCTTATATAGTAATAGACTTGGGAAAAAAAAATCTAATTGATCCAATTAACCTTTAATTTGGGATAAATAAATAAACACAATGAAAAGATCAGGACAAAGGATTTAATTAAGAAAAAAAAGCTTTACAACTTCCATTGGTTGGTTGGACATTTTAATATATTTGAAAAAAATTAAACAAGTTCAATTAAATTAAATCAAATAAAATTAATTTTTTTAATAACAAGTCTTGACAATTTTTAATTGCATGTGTGACAAATTTTAATTTATTTTGTGCACACATAATTATGGTGTGGACGCGCGAACAATGAAATGAATTTTAGTTAGGATATTATTATTAATATTTGACTATTCCCCTCCAATTAGAAAAATGAAACAACAACTTAATGTTGCTTTATTAGTAGCAGATACACCCGTACCTAAAGTATTGGAAAATTATGGAGATTATTATGTACAATTTACAAAATTTTTGAATAAAAATAAACATTATTTAATAAATTTAAAGAAATTTGATGTTGTGAATGAAATGAACTATATTCAAATGATAAAGAATTAAAAGAAGATATTGATGTTATAATAATTACAGGCTCTTGTAAGAATTTTGGTAATTATATATTTCTCTAGTGTGATCAATAATGTTTTTTTTAGCCTTTTCTGTTTACAAAGATGTTCCTTGGATTCATAAACTTGACAATTTTATTTCTTTAATTTATAATAGCTATTGTAAAGTTAAATTAGTTAGAATTTGTTTTGGTCATCAGATTATTGCTAAAACTTTAGGCGGAAAAACTCTAAAAATCAATTGGGATGGAGGTATTGTTGTATTTATTATTTATTTAATTTTCAAAAAATTTGTTATTCTAATAATGATTATAAATAGGTTGCTGTCACTAATAAAACTAATAAAAAAGTTTTGGTAATAAATTTCAAAATTATTCTCACAGTTAATTCATTGTTATTCACACATACACACACACACATATATTTTATATATATAATTTATTGTAAAACACTTCAAGAATGCATCAGGTAATAAATTATTAATTTATATAATTTACATAATTTACACAATTTATTTACTTGTTCACATATTCATGATTTATTGTGACAGGAACATGTAACAAAAATGCCATCAAATTTTATCAATTGGGGAAGTACAGATGTATCAAAATACAAGGAATGTTTAAAGAAGAACATGTCTTGACTGTTCAAGCTCATCCTGAATTTGTTAGTGGAAGAGGTGAAGGAAATAATTAAAAATCATTTGGAAAAGAAAATTTATACAAAAGAATTTGCAGATCAAAAAATCAACAGATTTAAAAGTTGATAATATATGGTTAGGAAAGAAGATTATAGAATTTATGTATGGTAAATAATAAAATTTACATAATAAAATATTTTTCTTTTTATTTATATTAATTATTGTATTATAATTTGATAATAGATGAAATTCAAGATGGTGAAGATGAATGATTATTATTTTGAAATTCTATTCTTTGAAAAATTCCTTCCAAATAAAAAAAAAGAGTTATTTTATTTTTCATTAATTTTAGCCAAAAGTTCTGAATCACGAAAAATTGTATATTCCTATTATACAAAAAAAATTTTTTTTGTTAATATATATAATATATATATATAATGATAATGATATGAAGTTTAATTAACTATCAATATAAAATTACATCATCTCCAACTTTGATCACGCCTCCACCGTATGAAGGAAGAAGAACACGATCACCAGGTTTTACTTGATTTGGAATGTGGTTTCCATCCTAATCACGTGATTCGAAAAATATTAATGAATAAAATCGCAATGTGAAAAAGTAATGTATGTATTTTTATTTTTTATACCTTATCTAAGGCACCTTTACCGGTGGCAATAACTTGACCTTCGTTAAGAGCTTCTAAAGCCTTTTCAGGAATTAATATCCCAGCAGCTGTTTTCTTTTATTATTTTGAGATTATAATATGATGTGTAAATTTCATCATCATTATATTGAATAAATGTTTCTTTTTTTTTTCAACAATTAAATTTATTTATCTTACCTGCTGAGATTTAATACGTTGAACAAGTACTCTGTCAAGAAGTGGAACAATTGATTTTACATTTCTTGTTGCAGTTGCCTAAATTAAAAAGTAGACAATATAAATATTAAACAAACGTAATATTAATATATATATATATATATAAATATAACATTATGCGTACCATTTTTTTAAAATTTTTTTTGTAATGTTAACAGCCAAAAAAAAATTTTTTATTTCTAAAAAAATTTCTCGAGATTATATTTTATTTTTTCGTGTTGTGATACAATTATGAACTTCTTTCGTCTTTAAAATTTTTTTATCATGGAAATTGATGGAAAGATTTTAGCTACCAATCAAATTTAAATCAATTTTTTCTTAATATATTGATTGATAGGAAAAAAAATTATTTCTTAAAATTCATCTAAAAAAATTTATCTAAACCTAAATTTAATAAAATGTATTGTGTTCCAAAACTTTTTAACAATAAATTTGCCATTTCCACATCAACATCAAAAATTACTCATAAACTGATAAACAATTTATCAAAAGACTTTATCATTAATAACAAATCATCATTATCGCCTTTATCAAGATATTATGTTACTCATAAAGAACTAAAATTTGGTGTGGAAGGCCGTGCTTCTTTATTAAATGGTGTGGACATACTTTCTAAAGCTGTAGCTGTAACACTTGGTCCCAAAGGAAGAAATGTTTTAATCGAACAACCTTTTGGTAGTCCAAAAATTACAAAGGATGGAGTGACTGTTGCTAAAAGTATAACACTTAAAGATAAATT